GGGGGGGAGCGTTAAAAATGCGAAGTTTTTTTTTGAGTTCATAAAAAATTTTAAATTTTCCGGCCCGGGGGCTTTGTCATCACTTAACTATTTTCAGCTAGGCTTGGGAAAAGGGGGGGGGGCTCTCTTTTTGGGGGGGGGGCCTTTTTGGGGGGGGGGGGGGGGCGGGATTGCCAAATTGCACGATATCAGTAATGGCGCTGTCCGGCCTGGTCATAATTCTTTGGTTACTGCAAAGGTGTCATATGTGAGTTTCGTTATTTCCTCGAAAGGGTTACTGTAACTTATGTGCTGAATTGTGTGGCATCAGAGCGGTTTACTCACAGCCCCTGCAGGCGACGCTGGGGAGGGCGAGGAGGGGTTCTTAGAGTCTGCCTGTACGAGTACACAATGCCCGAAGTGCGGCGATTCTTCTTTCAGGAAAGGGCATTAGTGAGAAGTAACTTGTTACCATCTCTCCCTACACTAATTTATAGGGGACAATGCTGAGTTCGGGAAGGAAATGTCAATGATTTTCTGTGGATTGCGTTCGAGTCATGGAAAACATTCCTTGAGCAAAATAGGTCGTACGCTTGGCCTAGTGCTCGCATTGCTGGCGTAGACTGCATCATTCGTCGGTGTTTAAGGGTGCTAGGCTGGGTCATGGCTCTTCTGTTCCCGGCAGTTTAAGTCTTAGCTTTACTGCGCTGAAATAACTTCTTAAATCCCGTTTCCCCCAGTTTTCCGCGTTTACTAAAGGTGTAATATACCCGTAAAGCACCATCCCCTAGGCACTAATGATATCTTAATAGCAAGTATTGATCTGATGATGAGACACAAATTACTGTGCTTTCCCTTGAACTCCATGTTTATAGTAACCACTAATCTCCAGAAGGAAGAAAAGGCAGGCCACATACAGGGATAAACCTAAATCACGACACCAAGAACAGAAAAGAAACAAGAGAAAGAAGAAAGGATGCTGTGGCCGTCTACACGATATCCCCTAATCCTCCGGGAGAATCTTGCACCATGGAACTATTCTGATCTATCGGCTTCTCGGGAATTGATTGTAGCGGCAGTGGGGGCCTATCTGCGGCGCCTGACACCAAACCCTGCGGGGTGTCGTTCACAAGAGGTAAACTTTGAGCGCCATTCTCACCCGACGAACCTGCGAGCTGCAGACCCCCCGTCAACGAAGACTGTTGGGAATTGCCATCCTGCTGCGGTAAACTTGGTTGAGGAGCGGATAGATTCACTGCGAGTTGCGGATGATGTTGCAGGGAAGGTACAGGGGCACTTGATGCGGCTGTGGTGCTAGAGATCTGATATGCAACAGCATGCACTTGTTGTCCACTCAAATCATTAGCGGTCAGCCCAACTGCGCGTTGGTTGCATTGCATTTGCGGGGCACCGGCTACTAGTTGATGGGTCGCTGGTCCAACTATGCCTGAGCTCGAGCTGGCTCTATCGGTGGGCAAAGGTTGACTAGTAGCTCCCTGCGTCGCAGCCTGAGCCGCTTTCTGGGCATTGGTTTTCCATTTGATGCCGCAGGCATTACATACTGTTACATTTTCTCCCTCAATGTCGGCCTTTCGCCAAAGGGATGTTTTGGACGTCTGGCATATATGGCAACTCTTTGTCGGATCCGCGATCCTCCCTTTCCTAGAGCGAGGGGGTTTAGGGGGTCTTGGGGTCTTCGGCATCTTGGGAACTGGCGTCCTGACTGCGCTGGTGGAAGGGGATGGGATAGAGGGTTGAGTAGTAGGTTCTCGAGGAATCGCCTTATTGAAACGGTTAGACCGGACCTTCGTATTGACTGATACTCCATGGAGCAGCTCACCTTTTTAATTGTCTTCACCCGTGGCCTTGGCGGTGCTGCTTGGGGTGTGTCCGCAAAGTTCTTGAGGTCGTGTGCAGGTGTGCTGCTTTCCCTTCTAGCCCTACGTTCTCGGAGGGTTCTGGCACTTGCCTCCACCATTTCGTGCATCTCAGGCTTGTCCGGGATTGCTTCGCCGGGCTCGCGTCTTAAACGGAATACCAGGAAAGTATCCTCTGCCCTTTTCTTTGATGCCATTATCTCTTCCATGTGTTTGAGGGTATTCTCTGCACTGGCAACAACTCTCTGAAGTATCTCCAAGGGTTTAGGGGTTGCAGACTCCAAAACAACCGTTATAGGTTGGTAATACTCATCCAAATCATCAACCGGTTTGCGAACTAGTATGAACGAAGCTCGGACCACTGTCCCACCCTTCAGATATTCAAGGATTGCATGTTTGGGGAAAAGGAACCGATCTCCTTGGCTGTAGGGGTCAACAAACTCAAACACTACAGATGTGATCTCTTGCTTAGGGGGCTGGGGAAATGGCCGGGGCTTGGGATTTGTCTGCGCCGGATGAGGAACAGGAATTCTACTCGGGGTACACTGCAGAGGATGGTGCGCGAATTGTGGAGATTCAGAATGGCTCTGTGAATGTGTTTGGTGTTGATGATATTGCTGTTGGTGGTGTTGCTGCGGATGATGTTGATGCTGATGCTGGGGCTGCGGTTGTTGTGTGTGCTGTAGTTGTGGTTGTTGTTGATGTCGCTGTTGATGCCCCGGATGCGTCTGTTGATGAGGTGCCTGCGCTGTGTGACCACTCCCAAGGGTTACAGAAGGTCCAGGAGTCTGTGTTGATGGACGTGCGGCATGACTACGAATCAATTGAGAGCTTGCGACGGGAGTCAAGACATCAATATGGGCTTGGAATATCTTGAGCTGTTCTGTCGTTGCCTTCCCAGAAGCAACAATCCGCATGAGGGCTTTTAAATCAGGGTCAGATGCTGCCCGAATAGCAAGAGCTTGGATTACAGGGTCCGGGCGTGAGGCCGCCGGTGGGGGTGCCACCCTAGGAGGGTCTTGTTGGGCAGGATGACTTGGCTGTAATTGCGGGCCTTGATGAGATGGTTGGCCAGGGGTAGACGGTTGCGGGGATATGCCAGGATTGCCCGTTGGTCTTTGATGTGGGACTGGAGTCACTGAGGCAGGGCTTGACTGTGTCCGAGCGAGATCTGGAGCCCGGGCAACACCCTGTTGGGGAACTTGATGGTGTGCTGGCGGTGTCTGAACACCAGCTCCCGAGGATTGCGCATGGTGGGCTGTAAAACCCGGCCCCGATGTGGTGTTTTCCGAAATGTCTAACTGGGGTGTTGGTGATAATGTTTGTTTCTGTACGGGATGGGGCACAGGAAGGAGGGGGGGGGGTTGCTTAACGGGCTCCAGTACACCAAACAATTTGATCTCGAACTTATGTGGCATAGAACTCATGGTGCAATTCCCAAGCCTGGTCATGCAATCCTTTGATGGATTCTTCTCTAGTTCTGCTGGATCCAGCTTCCGTGACTTTAGCGGCTTTATCCAGAATTTCTCGAAGATATCCCCATCCACCCATTTCCTTTGGGATCGGATTAATGACTCTGCCATGACCTTGCTAATACTTGGTTAGTAACTCTTCTCAGCGATAGTCATGATGGTAGGCAAACCTCTCGGCCACAGATTGATAATCGCTCAACAGTAATCCACCTGGCTGGCGTTGCGGAATAACCGGGAGTGGTCCATCCTTTGTAAAAGACGTTGGGACTTCGGGGGTGGGGGTTTGCTCCTCAGGTGTTGGAGCTTCAGCGGCAGCAGGTGTTGCACTGCGGTGTTTGGAAGGATGAGACTCCCGAACAGCAACCGTGCGCTTTCGCTTCTCCCCCATCTTGATTTTATTGCAAGTCTGTAGCTATATTGTGGAGCAGGTTATGGGGCTGGCGTGTTGGTACAATGCCCTAGTGAGTTGAGGGTATGATACAACGCGTTAAGAGGAGCTTCCGACTCAGTTAGACTACCGGTATGATGACTGGATGCCAGTATCGTAGATTAAGGTATCACACCAATTCTTGGTCATTTTCCTGCCAAGAACTCTCTGTCTCTCCCCCGAATAGGTAATCAGAGAGTGATCTCAGCTCGCGTGCTGGACTTCGTCTCCGATCCCACCGGCTCACTACCTTCCCTACCGCAATCTAAACAACATCTATCCCCCTCTCAATACCACCCAACCTCTCGTCTTCCTACCTCTTGCCAGATTTCCAGCGAGCTACCATCGGCTTTGAGGAGGAAAATATGGCCCGTGAGCTTTTTAAGAAGGCCTATTGGCCTCTCGTAGCTCTCGGTGCTTTTTATTTCGTTGTTCTCGGTTTATTAACGGTTCCATGGATTCAAAATAAGTGTGTTCTTCGCTTACTGTACGTATCTACGGACGGACGGAATGAACTGATATATCGTGCCACCCTAGTGCGATTTATATGCACAGAATGAAGGTCACCTGGCGACAGGACCTTAGGAAGCCGGAAGAATTTGGATTTGCAAGTCTGTACACTAAGTCTCCCACAAAATATGATCATTACTTGCTAACGAGGCCCCCACAGAAAATCAAGTAGCGCCCTTCTTTTTGAAAACCCCAGACGGTGAAGACATATTCGTGTGGCATGTCCTTCCACTTGGCCTTTACAAAGAACATCGGGAGTCCTTAGTCAAGCAAAATACTGGCTTAATCTCAAACCCATTGGAATCCGAGAATATAAAACTCTTAATAGCCGATCCTGAAGCAAGACTGATTATTCACTGTATGTACCCCGTTCAAACGTAGCTTGTATTCAATACCCCACATCCACTGACAGAGGTATAGTTCATGGTGTAAGCACATCCTTCAGCCCCAGTGAGTCACACGCTAATATATATACTCACTAGAATGCCGGAACAGTTGGAGCGTCCTGGAGACCTACATACCTACGATCTCTCTCTGCCGGCGACCCATCCAAAATTCATATAATCACCCTAGATTATCGAGGATTTGGCCTATCATCCGGCACCCCATCAGAACAGGGATTAATCACCGATGCGATTACCTCCGTGAACTGGGCTATTAATACTCTTGGAATCTCGCCTTCTAGGATTGCTGTTGTTGGCCAGTCACTAGGAACAGCTGTTGCCATTGCCGCTGCGGAGAAGCTAGCAACACACCCAACCAGTCCGATAGAGCTCGGTGCAGTCATCACAATTGCCGGTTTCAGTAATATGAAAGAACTAATCTTGACCTACAATATCTTTGGCTGGCTCCCAGTACTGTCACCTTTGAGACCTTACCCTTTTCTCCAAAGATTCTTTGCAAATTTTATCATCGATACGTGGGAATCTGATAAGCGGATTGCCTCACTCATCAAGTCTAGTAAGAAGTTGAACTTTATCGTTCTTCATGCCTACAATGATTTCGATATTCCATGGCAACATTCTGATAGACTGTTTGTGACTGCTGCCAATGCAACACAATCAGGAAATGAACTGACATGGCTCGAAATTATGGGCTTAAGGGAAAGGACTGAATTTGGAGAGGAGAGCTATCAGAACAAATGGCCGACGGCCAGAAGCAATGGCCATTCCATTGAGCAGTGGGTTGTAAGATGGGGAGGTCACAACCAAGTGGTTGCAAGTGCTGGGACTTCTGTTATCGTCGCAAAGGCTTTGGGACTGTAGATTGTCTGTACTAGAGTATCCGAAATCCTTTTAGTATTTCGTCAGGGTATTATGGCACGAGTTGTGATAATTCTTTTCACATTTATTGTCAGAAGATTTGAAGATATTCAGCAGGTTAAAAAGGTGATATTAAATTCATAAAGAGATTGATACAATAACTTAGGTTAGAAGACTTAGTGTATCGAAAACAAATTGCTCACATTAATTCAATACAATGTCATAACAGTTCTCGATCCAGCCTTCAATACCCTACCATACTCGCACTTACCCATGATGCCCCTGGGTCTTACGAACTAATAACCTACGGCAACTTAAGTGCTTTGACGCAGTTTGGCTTGTTCCACAACCTCTAGCCACGTGCAAAGGAAGCGGCACCCGCGGACAATCCCCACAGCTTTAGTCTAACTCTCCGTCGCAGCAGCATCATATATTATGATGTGCTCTACTTGTCTACGATAGTCTATTATGTACAAGGGTCCGGCATTTAGCGATCGCACAGGCTGAAGAAAGGCGGGAAATGGCAGCAATAACGGCGGACAATAAACTGAACATCAGTCGGTCATTGCAACCAATGCAAACCTCATGGTATGTGGAGCAAGTCACGCAATCTGAACCTCGCGATGTGTGGAGCAAGTCACGCAATCTGAACCTTATGGTGGTTTTGAAGCAATCACGGAAGAAAGGAAGGGAAAAGCTCTCTGTTTATAAGAACAACTATCCTTAATTTCAAATAAATTAAGGTAACAAGAAAATAAATCCTCTATAAAAGATGAAGAAATTGCACTAATTTGAATAGGTTTTTAAAACAAGCACATCATGTCTAGAGCCACTTCCTCTACTCTAATGCATAGAAACATGAAGTTCTCCTTCTCTGCACTCGGCACTCATGCAGAATCACCATTCCCCATGAGCACTCCACCAGAATCCTCTTTCCTAAAGAACACTTCTTCAGAATCTCCTTCTCCTTCTCCTAAGTGTGTAAAGTCCAACTCTCCTGCTTCTCCAAAGTTTCTCTGAACTGAAATTACATACTCTCTTTGGTCAAAAATCAGATCTCCACACCCTTTTGCCAAATGGAACTTCCGTCCTATTGCAGTAACAGTTAAGCTTCCTGTTAGCACTGTATTTTCTATGTATGCACAATCAAATACACTTATCCAGTCTGGTGTTGGAAAACCTGGTCGTCTCTCTCTAGGAGAAAAATCTCTTGTAGTAGTCCATGCAACTGCATCTCAGGAGGATCGTCATAAATCACTATTTATTATTTCTGAACAACTGGTAATTAAGGTTAATGAGTACACACTTTGCCATTTTTTCTCCAGCCAAGATTATCATCATAGAATATCTCAGGTGAAACCTTTTCTCACTATCAAAAGCAAGATTGTCCACTTACAGTATGCTGATACCTTTTCATCAGTAGGTACAGCAGGATTGGACGAAGAAAATTTGGACAGATCAGCCTGCATTTAATGTGTAAAGGTTTTCAGGAAACGCTGGAGTCACTCAGACTATAGGAGAAGAGTATATTGAAGATTGCCTTCTTCCAAAATTTTGAAAACTACAAACCATCATAGCCTGATAATGCATTTCAGGAAATGAGAAAGGTCTGTTGCTGATATGGGATAAAGATAATTGGAGCAAAACAATCAATAGCCAAAGCTATTGTAATTATATCATAATCCCACACCTATACATGTTTTTACTACAACTCTGCCAGGAATGCAAAGATTATGTTTACCTTCAGTAGGATAGTGCATTATCCCCTCATGCTAAATATGCAATAGGGGTATTAAGGAATCTCAACAAGATAGGTTACTTTTCTACCTGGCCATCAGGTTCTCCAGATTTAAATTCAATTGAACATGTATAGTGAATAATGAAAGACCAAATTCACCAGCACTCTCCTCAGCCTACTACAAATTTATTACTATAATTGGCTATTGGGGAAGAGTGGGATACTATAACTCCTGATGAAAGTTTCTGCTTGACTACCTCTCTTCCTGCCCGTATTAGTGCTGTTTGGACTGTTGCTGGTGGGCATACTATGTACTAGATACTAAAGTCAAGATGGGGAGAGTTCAATGAGAGGATATGGTAGTTGGAGATATTAGCGGAGAGGAAAGTGGTATTGGAGTGGGACGGAGGCAGTAGCAGGAAAAGCTGCAGGAGGAAGGAAAAGAGTAGATGGGTCGAATGTGGCAGGTTGATCAGGCTGCTACCTGATGGGGTACAAGGAAGAACAGTGTCATCTTACCTTACATTTGATATCTTTTTCTTTTCAAATCTTCACTTTTTTTTTTCTTTTTCTTTTTTCAAACAATTAAGTTATATCTGGGAAAGTCTTTTTTTTAATTTTTATTCTATATCTCTTACTGTTTCATGATCAGAATTGGGTATTGCATGAGTGACAGCAGATGGGGTTTCTTGTAAAATCGTGCCATGGCTGTGGCTTTACAGCCACAACCCCCTGGCTGCTCACTTGCTCGCAACCTGGGGCACTCTTCCAGAGTACCTGCCAGCTCAACATGACTTTACAGCTCAACACAACTTGTGGCTCAACACAAATCTTTGTGGCTCAACAGAACTTTTTTATGGCTAAACAGAACTTTTTTTGTGGCTTAACTAAACTTCACAATTCCACCACAGATACAAATTATTCTAATTTACACTTATTTTCCCCAATCTAACCAGTTTTTTAATACTTCTAATAATATGTTTTGATATTTTCTTCTTATGGGCTAAAACCTTTCGCCTATTTTTAACCTTTAATTTCATCTCATCAAGTAGAGGTTTGTGCTCCTCATGCTCCAACCGCTTCTTTGCATTCCGAGCTTTTTGTAGCTGTTTCTCTGCTTTCTCTATTTCTGCACCCTCTCGGCTTTTTGCCATCTGACGAGCTTGTGATGGATAAATGACCCCAACCTTTTGCACCTGCCATTGACTCTATCCCTGCTGTCTTACAGATCTTGCATATTCTGCTACCCTAGTATGCTCTATGTGCTCCATTACCAGTGCACCTGACTATGCTTATACCAATCCACCTTGCAAAACTAATTTCAATTTTTTCTGCAATGTTGGTGACAAGTCTTGAGCATCAAGTTGTAATTCCTCTCCCATGCGCTTCAAGCTTCAGATAGTAATGGGAATAGTTGTGGATGATATTCGTGGAGGTGTAACGGGTTGCTGGAGAAGTGAAACTGCTTCACGTAATTTGGATATCACCATACTTGGATTGAATGGGATAAGTCCAGTTGCCTTAAAGGCAGATTTAATTTTGGAAGGTTTGAAGGTTTGTTGTCGGATAGAATCTATTGTATCTAGAAATTCTATCTTGTCAAACTCTCCACAGCCAGTACGGGTTGCAGCTTCTACTGCTTCACTATGATAATGTTTATATGGCTGAAAAACCACAACATCAAGGGGTTGGAGAAGATGACTAGTATGAGGAGGTAGGCAGAAGATAACAATCTTATGGCTATCACAGTAATCGAGGAACTACTTAGTGCAATGAGAGCCAAATCTATCCAAAGGTAATAGCCGATAGTTGGCTACTTTTCGTTGCAGAGAAAAGTAGTTGAAATGCTCCAGCCACTGTAGTGACAATTTATCATTGCTGTATCCAGTCTCTGAAGTTCCTATAAGATAATCATCTGGTATACTGGTTATTGTATACCAGGGCTCCTGATGTATAACTCCTGGAATAATGATCATTAGGGGAAGGACTACTCCATCGCCACTGATAGTCTTACAATCGGATATCAGCTCAAGGTTCGTGGAGCTTCCAAGGTATGACTGTCGTGATGGGTCCAGCGTAATTATCCACTGGTCCCGGCCTATGCCAATTCTGAAGCCTGTTTCATCAAAATTGTAGCAGTCTTGGTCCTCAATACTGGACTTCTTGCGGATAGTGTGATATCGCTGGAACCAATCTTTGATCTTATCAGGTTGCTGAGCATTTTTTCTGTTGATATTAAGAGTGTGTTGTTTTTGAATTGAATACTCTGGATGACAGATCATGAAGCGCTTAGCCCAGTGGTCTCTAACGGTAGAAAATGAACCATAACCTGTATGGGAATACTGCAAAATAGCATTTGCGCAACCAGAAACTATTGGGAGGTGTGCACTTGTTCCTATTATGTTCAAGGGGTCTAGGTATTGACACACTTCCAGTTCTTGATCTTCAGAGAGTTTCCTGTTGGTTGCTTCTCTATCCTGTTTTGATGGAACTCCATCCCACCGGACTCGAAGTCTGGATTTTGGAATTTCATACTAGTAGGCAAGTGCTGTAAGATTCGGTTTCTCATGCTCTATACTTTTAAGAGAGGCAATTGCAGCTCCAATTTGGATCTCGGTATCTTCGGAAAGCTCCACCCATTGACTAGGAAGTATAATAGTAGCTGGTAGTGGGGCCATGATGGTGATAATATGGGGGAAATGGGTATCGAGATGATAGGCTCTAGGTGACTTTGAACAGATTGGCAGTAATTGTAAAAAGAATATATTTGGAAGATTGTTTGAAAATCAAATTGGTAAGTACTGGACAATTGTAGTAGTGAAGCTTTAACTTTAATACATCTATATATAAAATAGAATGCTGTATACAATGGGTTTTAAATAGAATTGTAAGAAATAGAGATTCATTGAATTTCAATGGTAAAGATCAATAAGAATATAAGATCCCATTGAGTAATAGAGCTTCATTATACTTCAAAGTCATATTCAGCTATAAGATTGCACTGTACTACCTCAATAGCTTGAACTGCAATAATATGTTAAGCTCTAAACAAATGATAATCTACTAGTATAATGCTACCTATAGATACTATGTGAAAGTTATGTTGGCTAATAAAGTTTCTTTATACTGTCATTCACCTTGAGCCACAAACAAATTTTAAGCTACAAAAAAGTTCTGTTTAGCCACAAAAAAGTCTGTTGAGCCGAAAAGATTTGTGTTGAGCTACAAGTTGTGTTGAGCTATAAAGTCATGTTGAGCTGGCAGGCACTATGGAAGAGTGCCCCAGGTTGCGAGCAAGCAAGCAGTCAGGGAGTTGTGGCTACCAAGCCACAACCGTGGCATGATTATTATGAATTATGACTTCTTGATATTCCGTAGAATCTAAAAACAAAGATCACTTAATATTGTACAATATTGAGTATGTGTGAAGACTGTATGCCGGACCCTTGTACTGTATAATAACTTCCATTTCAATCTAATCAGATTATCATCTATCATACCCCGTAAAGCAATAGATTACCACCTTACTAGTACCTTCCTGATATGTACAGTCGTGTCTAAAAAGCTTTCATACCCTTCATGGCAATGGTATCTCTACAATGAGCAACCACATTAACTGGACAAAAAAAAATGAGAAAAATAGAATTTTAAAACAGATTGAAATAGAAATAAAAAATAACAGTTTCCTAAGGCTACAATTTTGTGTGACCTCCATCTGCATATAATACAATCTGAATTCTCTCAGGATCCTCTGAATTCACCCATTGAATGTCTCTTAAGGTATCCTTTCCTACAATTTCTTTACTGCTCGAAATAATTCAGAAGTACTATGAGGCTTTCTTTCAACCTTAGAGAATTGCTTTCTAAGGGCTTTTTTGAGAATTGCACAAGCATTTTTCAATAGGGTTAAGATCTGGTGAGTTAGGGAGCCAAGGCAATCTTCAAAATCCATAATTCTCTTGCAATTGTTTGTTTTCTGCACTATTATGCCATGATCCATTATCAGAAGCCATGTAGATAGTTTCAGTTGCTCTGTCTATACCCTTTATAAAGGGTATAAGATAGGGTTGATGGATTTCTGTTGCATATTGGTGGGTATTGAGACCAAGTATATCTCTCTTGCTTGTTCTCTCCTCTTCAGTCCTTTTTCTGACAAGAATCAATTCTGTCCTTCCTACATCCGTCATTGCAGCGTACATTCCTATATTAGTATGTCTTGACTTAAAGTTAGGCTTTCAGTTTTTATCTTCCAACTCTTCACGTGGTCAGAATCTGATCTTTCTCCCTACTGGATTTGGATCCTATTAAATTGTGGCTTCATCCAAAAAAAACAATCTATTTCCAAGCTCTTGTCCAGTTACTCCACACTGTAGCAAACTCCTTTTTTCTTCTCCTTCTCGCAGTACTGCTCAGGCGTCTACGTCTTGTTTCCGCCCTCAGTTTGAAAGGCCGGTGTT